GCTCATCATATCTTTCTGTGTTGTGCTATGTGTGGTTAGTCGCTCAGTCGTGTCTGTCTCTTTGGGACCCCATGGACTGTAGCCCACCAGGCTCCTCTGTCCATGGGATTCTCCAGGCAAGAATACTGGAGTGGGTTGCCATTCCCTCCTCCAGGGGATCTTCCTGACCCAGGGATGGAACCCTGGTCTCCCACATTGCAGGCAGATTCTTTACCATTTGAGTGTTGTTTCTTAAAGCTTAATATGATCCTCTAAGTATCTAAGCATTTTTAAATGCATAATTAAAAAGGAAAAAAGCACAGTTCTCTGACTACATTTGTCTTATAGACCACAGTTTGCCAACCCCTGGCTTAAGTGATCTGGTCCCTTCATACCTCTGCCCGCTTGCCTTATACTAACCTTGTTTATTCCTGTCTCATGGAGCTTCAGCTGCATTGGTCTCCTCTGTTCCACGGATAGGACAACACTGTTCCTGCCTCGGGACTTTCATACTTGCTATTATTTCTTGGATAACTCTCTCCACTTATATTCTTCTGGGAGATTCCACTTACTGTTCAGGCTTCGCTCATGTGCTCAGTTTACATACCTCTTTGACTCTATCCCCATTCACTTTTTATCATATTGTACTTTTGTTGTACTCATGTATGGATGTGAGAGTTGGACTATAAAGAAAGCTGAGCACTGAATAATTAATGCTTCTGAACTGTGCTGTTGGAGAAGACTCTTGAGAGTCCCTTGGACTGCAAGGAGATCCAGCCAGTCCATCCTAAAGGAGATCAGTCCTGGGTGTTCATTGGAAGGACTGATGTTGAAGCTGAAACTCCAATACTTTGACCACCTCATGCTAAGAGCTGACTCATTGCAAAAGGCCCTGATGCTGGGAGGGATTGGGGGCAGGAGGAGAAGGGGATGACAGAGGATGAGATGGTTGGATGGCATCACTGACTCGATGGACATGGGTTTGGGTGGACTCCAGGAGTTGGTGATGGACAGGGAGGCCTGGCGTGCTGTGACTCATGAGGTCGCAGAGAGTCCGACATGACTGAGCAACTGAACTGAACTGAACTTTTGTTGTACTTCTTTACATTATGAAATAATCATTTTACTTCCTGTTAATTATTTGTCGTCTCTCTAGAATTTATTCCCCCTGAAAACAAGGTCTTGCTTGTCTTCTTTACTGCTTCATGTCCAACACCCAGCATGTATGCTTAGCACTGAGTAGACATTCAGTATATGTTTGCTAAATGATCCAGTGAAGGACTTAGATGGGTGAGAAAGAAAAGATGCGCTGAGAGTCCCACTTAGGCTTTGTGGGGGGAATGGGTTCATCCATTTACTGTTTGTTCCGCTTACCCATTCATTTATCCTTCATTCACTGAGTGCTTATGATGTGCCAGGTTCTGAGCCAGATATTCTAGGTTGTTTTCTCACAGGGTCTCCAGAAATGCGTCCCAGAAAGGCATTCTTATTTCTGTCTTACAGATGAGGAGCCTGAGACTGTTTCAGAGGGGAAGCACTTGCCTAGATGCTCAGCATCCAAGGCCTGTGTGCAGTTCAAGACTGAAATCACCCTTGTCTCCAGTCTCATCAGGTCCTGTCTCCAAGCTATCCCCCCTATTTAAAGAAAGAAAGCTGAGGCCTAGCTCAGTACCAGGTCACCAGGCACATGCGTGGTATTCCTGGGAAGGGTTCTGTACTTCCTCTTCCTAGAAAACAGAATGTCCCCTTGGCTTCGGTTACGTCTGTCTCCTCCCTGTGAGAAGCCATCTCTGACCCAGGCCTCCTACTGTGACACTCCCCAGTCAAGCACATTCGCAGAGTTTCCATTTTCCCATTCAGATATTACACCATGATTCTTCACATTTCCTGTGTAACTAGTTCTCTGTCTAACAGAGAGGTGTATTTCTCATTTCTCAATCTGGATCCTAAGCTCCTTAATCATACCCAGAACGGCAGCTGGCAGCTAGCGTCTGCCGAACACCTTGCCAAGCGCTTGATGTATTTATCTCACTGTATTAGTTATCTATTGCTGTGTAACAAATTATCCCCAAATTGGGCAGCTTAAAACAAAAGGCATTTATAATGTCATGCCAGTTTTGAAGATTAGAAATTTAAGAGCGGCCTAGCAAACACAGTGGCATGAGAAAATAGACATGTGTTCTCTCGAGGTTCTGAAGACCAGACGTGTGAGGTCACGGTGTCAGCAGGGTCCTGCCTGCTCCCAGGGCTCTAGGGGGGAATGTCCCAGCCTCTCCAGCCTCTGGTGCCTGCAGTGTTGGGAGACTTGTGGCCACGTCACCCCCATCGCTGCTTCCCCCGCCGTGACTCTCTCTGTGTGCAGTCTCTCTCTGCTTCTCTTTTCAAAGGGCCTTTGTGACAGCATTTAGAGCTACCTAGGTCACACCAGGGCACTATCTTCATCTCAACAGTGTTGATTTAATTATATCTGTGAAAAGCCTTTTCCGTAGAAGGTAACATTCACAGGTTCTAAAGGTTAGGATGGGGATATATCTTTGGGAGGCTTCCCAGGTGGTGCTAGTGGTAAAGAACCCACCTGCCAATGCAGGAGGCATAAGAGACGCAGGTTCGATCCCTGGAGGGCTTGATCTCTTCTCGCCTGGAGGAGGGCATGGCGATCCACTCCAGTCTTCTTGCCTGGAGAACCCCATGGACAGAGGAGCCTGGCGCGCTACAGTCTGTGGGTCGCAAAGAGTCAGACATGGCTGAAGCAGTTTAGCACGCACATGGCATGTGTGCATTAGCCTCTCATATGACCTCATAGGTTTGCCTGAAAGGTTAACTGAATTAAATCAGATAAAGTGCTTAAATTATGCCTGGAGTATAGAATGTACTGTTTTAAAGAACAAGAGTGGTGGGGAATCAGTAGGGGTTGATGGAAAGAATCATGAGTGATCTGATTGAGTAATATCTTCTGTTACCTGCTGAGAAGGTCAGCCCTCCCTTCTAGCACGCACCCCGAGTCTCTGCAGACAGACAGACCAGCCTCGGGTAGCAGCACATGCCGTCAAATGACCTCATGACCAAGTGCCTTTCTGGCTGACACTGAGTGTTCCGAGACAAGCAGGGGTCTCCTCTGAGCTTGTATTAATATGTACAGCACTTCACTCCCACAGAAAATTGATTTTTCTTTTTAAGCACAAAATGTAGCCAGTTTTATAACCTTTCTGCTGCTTGACAAAGGCCATTTATAACCAACTCTCTCTGTCACCCTTCCTGGCGCCAGTCTCAAGTGTCTCGAAGAACTCTCTGGTGCATTTGTAATTATGAATTCTTCTTAGGCAAAATTTAATTTCCAAGAGAGCTGACCTTTTTTTGTTACTGTGGGTTTTGTAAATTAACTTTGGGGTGTGTGTTTTGTTATTGATGTTGTTCAGGATGATGGCTTAGGAAGGAGGGAGGGGCAGGGGAGCTGGTTGGGAGGAGAGGAACGTGGGGAGGGCATTTTAATCAGCAATGTCCAGTGATGGATGAAGAGGGCTGGGCTCTGAGTGTTAATCTTGGTGGACAGGAAATGCCAGCCGGATGACTGAAATTAAAACCTAGTACCTCATTTTCTCTCCCGAACACAGGAGAGTTGGCACTGTGTTCTCCATCTGCTGGACTGGAGATGAGCTCAGCTTCATCAAATGATGGGAATCTAGATTAAATAAATAGGTGGTTTTCCCGAGGCTATAAGAGCTTCCATTCACAGAGCACTTAGCAGGTGCAGGCACGCCCTCGAAAAGAGCATTCGACTGAGGTTCTCAAGGTTGGAATCGGTGAGGTTTTCAAGGGACCAGAGGGCAGCCTGTTTGGTTACCTAGAGGAGGGTGCTTGTGGCTAGACAGAGACTTTGAAATCATCTGTCCATGGGATCCGTAGCTGGACCTTGGCTGTCAGCTTTAGGAAGGTTCACTTTGCTGTTGTTGTTTAGAATGCATTTATTTATTTGCACTCGGAAGTGATGCTATTTAGAAATACCACACTGGTGGCTACTAGGAGGATGATGGAGAAGAGGCCAGATTGGAGGTTAGCAGACTGTTTAGGAGACCTTTTGTGAGGATGTACGAGTCTCATTTAGGACTTCAGGCTTGAGGCTGGAGAATAGGTTACACATTCAAGACAGGAAGGAAGAGAAATTACATTCGATGAGTACCAAGCTGCATGCCAAATTCCAAAGTAAGTTCTGCAGCCCCTGCGATCCAACTTAAGCTTGACACCAAATCCACCAAAGCAGGTGCTGAGCTTGTAGGAAGTTGAAATTCAGAGAGGGTGAGTAACTTACCCCAGATCAGGCAGGAAGAAGGGAAAGATGTGGAATTTAAACTCATATTAGTAGAAGCTCTTAAAAATATATCGGGCTGCTTCCCCAAGTGACCCAGGGGGACAGTAATAATAAACACAGTACAGATGATGACCCCAGTATGGGCAGTGTTCATAGCAGCTCACATCTGCTTGCCTGGTTGCCATATCAGCCATGGAGTTCTTAGCACTCTGCACACACGAACTCCCTTCATTCTTACAACTTTACAAGACAGGTGTAGACAAAAGTTCCATTGTACAGGTGGGTACACTGCGGTTCAGAGGGGTGAAGGAATTTGTCCATGGCCACACAGTTATTATTTAATAGTTGGTCAGATAAGACTGTTGTTTTTTGTTTTAAAAGATTATTATTATTATTATTTTTTAGATGTAGACCATTTTTAAAGCCTTTAGTGAATTTGTCACAAAGTTGTCTCTGTTTCATGTTGTGGTGTTTTGGGCCACAAAGCCTGGGGGAATCTCAGTCCCCAACCAGGGATGGAGCCTGTACCCGCTACATTCGAAGGCGAAGGCTTGACCACGGGACCGCCAGGGAAGTCCCACGGTCAGATAAGACCTTGAGCTGCTCTCTGCGGTCCTGACCCCTGCCCCTTTTCAGAAGGTGAGGGGAGAGGGCGTGCTGAGACCACCGCCGCTTCAGCCGTAACCACCCCGCTCCTCTCTCTCCCTCTGAGCAGTGCCCCGAGGAGCTGAGACCCATGAAGGATGGCTCCGGCTGCTACGACCACTCCAAAGGCATCGACTGCTCCGACGGCTTTAACGGCGGCTGCGAGCAGCTGTGTCTGCAGCAGACGGTGCCCTTACCCTATGACGCCACCTCCAGCACCATCTTCATGTTCTGCGGGTGAGTCTGTCCCCGAGGCCCGACCACTCCCTTCACAGCAGTGGCATGGATGCAGAGAAAAAAAAAAGTCAGGAACCACAGCCTGGGCCTGGCTGGCTCTGACCTTCACTGAAATGGCCTTTATGTCTCTGCTTTTTCAGCCCCAGAGGCAAAAGGCAACAGTCTAACCTTTGGGTTGGGGATTGAGAAGAAGAACAGAAGAAGAAAGATAAATAATTGATTAGTGATTATAATAAATGGTTCACACGTTCAGGCTGCACCCTAGGATCAGGACTTCTTTCCTGTAAAAGTCTCCTGCCCTTTCTGCATCTACCCCGCAGCCGGGGTCAGGGTATTTTGGAGATGAAAGCAGGCATCTTGAAGGTGTCACTGAGAAAGCAGCAGGTGTGGTGCTTCCGAACGTGGGCTTAGCCCAGGCTTCTGACTCTGTCTCTGCAGGGAGTAAGCAGTGCCAAATTCAGAGGCTAGTCCTTCTTTGGCCTCGTGTCCCTATCGATAAGAATAATTCCTTGGGAGAGGCGAGGTGGAGAGGAAACAATGTAGGCAAAGCTTGAGAAGTTCTCACTCCTGTTAAGAATTCAGCTGAGTTTTAAGGTTAGTATGAGGCGGAAGGCGGGGTCACGTTAGGACCGACTTGTCCAGTGACCTGGGACAAGTCACTCTCCCTCTCTGGGCTGCCGTTTGACCACCTGCGAAATGAGATCTTTGGGAAAATGATGCCTGATGCTCTTCCAATTTTCCTTGTTTTCCCTGTTGCTAATGTCTGCAGCAGGACTTCTGCCGTGGAGAGCTTCTAGGATCACATTTGATCCTTAGCCATCACTCAAGAAAATGCCAGCCTTTTTCCTTCTCTTCATCCCCTTTCTGCTGAGGTCTTCATAGTAGACAGCTTGTTCTCCTTTTGACGTTCTGTGACTCAGAAAAGTGATCTTTTGTGTTGCAAGACGCTCAGTCATTGAAGTGCGCCTAGTGCTGTAGTGGGCTGCCCAGGTGGCACAGAGGTAGAGAATCTGCCTGCCAATGCAGGAGCAGCCGGGGTCAGGGTATTTTGGAGATGAAAGCAGGCATCTTGAAGGTGTCACTGAGAAAGCAGCAGGTGTGGTGCTTCCGAACGTGGGCTTAGCCCAGGCTTCCGACTCTGTCTCTGCAGGGAGTAAGCAGTGCCAAATTCAGAGGCTAGTCCTTCTTTGGCCTCGTGTCCCTATCGATAAGAATAATTCCCTGGGAGAGGCGAGGTGGAGAGGAAACAATGCAGGCAAAGCTCGAGAAGTTCTCACTCCTGTTAAGAATTCAGCTGAGTTTTAAGGTTAGTATGAGGCGGAAGGAGGGGGTCACGTTAGGACCGACTTGTCCAGTGACCTGGGACGAGTCACTCTCCCTCTCTGGGCTGCCGTTTGACCACCTGCGAAATGAGATCTTTGGGAAAATGATGCCTGATGCTCTTCCAGTTTTCCTTGTTTTCCCTGTTGCTAATGTCTGCAGCAGGACCTCTGCCGTGGAGAGCTTCTAGGATCGCATTTGATCCTTAGCCATCACTCAAGAAAATGCCAGCCTTTTTCCTTCTCTTCATCCCCTTCCTGCTGAGGTCTTCATAGTAGACAGCTTGTTCTCCTTTTGACGTTCTGTGACTCAGAAGAATGATCTTTTGTGTTGCAAGACGCTCAGTCATTGAAGTGCGCCTAGTGCTGTAGTGGGCTGCCCAGGTGGCACAGAGGTAGAGAATCTGCCTGCCAATGCAGGAGATGCCAGAGACACAGGCTCCATCCCTGGGCTGGGAAGATGCCCTGCAGGAGGAAACGGCAAGCCGCTCCGGTGTTCTCGCCTGGAGAATTCCAGGGACAGAGAAGCCTGGCGGGCTACTGTCCCAGGGCTGCACAGAGGCAGACACAACTGAGCAACTGAACCCACACAGTGCTTTACTGAGATAGAAAAGGAGAAAAGAGCATCCAACAACCTTTTCAGCCCCGAGAACTATGAAAGAGGAGGTGGAGGAATGCGTAAGTGTTTAATTTCAGTTTAACAGGAAATTAATTTTACCTGCATGGTTCCAGTCTGTGGGGTCTGGTCTTCCTCCTGGGGCTCATTTCAGGGGCTCCCCACCCCAGCCCCAGTTACGCTTGGTGCCACAGGCGCGTTTGAGCAGGTGTTAGAGCAGCTCGCTGGAGGCCCTAGATATGTATCAGTAAAATAAATAAGAAATAAATTAGTGTGTGCAGACCTGAATTTATAGGGTCTCTCCTCAGCTGAAGTGACTGCAGGGCAGTGCTGAGTAAATTATGCATGGGCTTAGATCTGAGGCCTGAATACCGAATCAGCTATGTTCTTATCATTGTTATTGTACTTGGGGGGAGGGGTGTCCTTCTGTTGCAAATAACAGTTTACAGCAGGGGACCACAGCAGTAATGGATTTTGACATAGAAACTGTCTGCCTCTTGCATCCATAGCATACTTCCAGGGTCAAGGGGAATCGGTACCTTTGGGTTCCAATCCTAACCACCTGTAACTTTCTCTTAGACATCAGGCAAGACTCTCAGGACCCTTGACCTTCAGTCTCTGGAATCTCTGAAATTTTAATAATATCTGCCTTAATGTAATGATGGTTGTAAAAAGTGCAAAGTGCATTTGTTACTCCATTCAGGATAAGTAATGTGTCCAAGGTCACGTGGCTAGTAATGTCGCTTGCTGCTTCTCACTGTGTGACCTTAAGCAAGTTACTTAACATCCCTGTGCCTCAGCTTTCTCACCTGTAGAAAAGTGATGATAATAGTGTCTCTCTATAGAGTTGCTATGAGGATTAAATACGTGATATTAACTGCATCACAATTTATTATTGTTTAGTCACTAGGTCCTCGGTCATTTCCTACTCTTTGCTACCCCATGGGCTGTAGCCCGCCAGGCTTCTCCGTCCATGGGATTTCCCAGGCAAGAATACTGGAGTGGGTAGTCATTCCCTTCTCCAGGGAATCTTCCCCACCCAGGGATCAGACCTGGATCTCCTGAGTCTCCTCCATTGGCAGGTGGATTTTTTACTGCTGAGCCCACCAGGAAAGCCCCAGCATCACAATTTACATTAATATTTATAAAGTGCGCAGATTTAGCTCTATTAGTTATTTGTTAAATAAAGTAGCTAAAGTGAATGACAGTAATGACAACAGGCCTCCACTTGCTCAGTGATCTGAGGGGCTCAACCTCTTGTCTGTGAGACAAGGACAGAGTAACCAGCCCTGCCCAGAAAGGTCTCTGAAAGTTTTAAATGAGACTGAATTAAGAGAGTGCAAGTGTGCTGTGAGCTGTTGAGGCTCCTCCAAATGCTGACAAACAGGAGGAAAATGGGGATAAAATTCAGGTCTCCTAAAACCAACTGCAGTGTCAACAGTCTTTGAAAATTGTCTATTAAGGATGCAAATGAGAAGTTAGCCGCATTTGTTAGAAGCACTATAAACAAAACAATGAAAACCATTAGCAGGTACTTATGTGAAAGTTGGTGGAGAGAAGTGGCAGGCTATTGAATTAAGCAAGGAAAACAAACCCTCACTCAAGGGGACCTTGTTGACTCGTTTCAGAGCTCTGTGCCCTTCTGAGAGTTCCCTGGGTAGCACAAATTTCATAAAGCTTGTTGCAGGCAGGTTAACAATAGCAGCTAACCCTTACTAAGCACTTCCTATGTGCCATGACTGTGCTAAATGCTTTGATTACATTCAGTTCAGTTCAGTCGCTCAGTTGTGTCCGACTCTTTGCGACCCCATGAATCGCAGCACGCCAGGCCCCTCTGTCCATCACCAACTCCCAGAGTTTACTCAAACTCATGTCCATCGAGTCGGTGATACCATCCAGCCATCTCATCCTCTGTCGTCCNTGATGCAAAGAACTGACTTAGTGGAAAAGACCCTAATGCTGGAAAAGATTTAAGTTGGGAGAAGAAGGGGACAACAGAGGATGAGATGGTCGGATGGCATCACCAACTCAATGGACATGAGTTTGAGCAAGCTCTGGGAGTTGGTGATGAACAGGGAAACCTGGCGTGCTGCAGTTCATGGGGCCACAAAGAGTCAGACACGACTGAGCGACTGAACTGAACTGAACTGATCCTGGATGAGAACCAGGAATCCTGCACAGAGCTGCAAGGACTGGAGGCTATAAGCTATTTTTCCCTGGATCTTTGCCCCCAGTGAAAAATACATTTATCACGGAGGCAGAAACTGTAAATCCAGATTCAAAGTTATTATTAGGGACATAGCACAGCAAGAAGTGGGAGAGGACATAGAGAAACAGTTTGTTTAGATGAGGTAGAAGCAAGGCAGAGATGCAAGCCTGGAGCCAAAGGGTGTGGGCCTCCCCCCAGTGAGGAGGAGCACAGTAAAGAGGTGGTCATTTATACAGGGCCGTTCTTCAGGGTCTTTGTCTTCCTCCAGGCCAATTATCTGGTTTCTTTTTCCATACCTAACCTACCCAGGGACACTCATCCCCTGTGTATGCAAGCACCCCTCTGCCAAGATGGATCTCAAAATGAAGGCTTCTGGGAGAAGCAAGACTCATTATGGCCTGGAATTATCCCCTGACTTTTGATCCACTTTCTGTGCACATGTAGTGTCTCTTCCTTGATCCAAAAGAGGGAGAAGGGAGATCCCTTAATCGTTTACATAGACAGGGTTTTGCCCCTGTTTGTTCTTGCCATGACTGTTCCCTTAAGGTGTTGACAAGATTCAAACACTGGCTCTTTACCCCGTTGTTACAACTTCCCTTTCAGAGGGCAAACAGGAGGCCACCTGTAAATGCCTCACCTGGAGCCCACCTATCTCTTGTCTCAGGAAATGCAGTCAGGAGGCTGGCTGGCTGTAAATGTCGAACCTGGAGCCCATCTGTCTCCTGCATCAGTACTAGCCTTACGGTTCTGATTTACTGTCAAGGCAGCTGGGCACAGAGCGGCTCAGTGACTGGCTTAAGGTCACACAGCCTAAGCGGAGGCCTCAGGACTTAAGCCCAGTCTGTGTGGCTCCTTT